GCGTAAGCTCATGGACCCACGGCTACGAAATTTGGTACATAGGTGAATCTAGACAAGAGCCAGTGCACCTCGAAGCGATTTTTTCGAAATTCGAATTCGACTTTTTTTTTATTTTATGTTTTGTGACGAAATCGCGTCATTTTGAGAATAATGGGCTATAGGAAAGCGAGATTTTACTCTACGCACTCCATTTTCACATCGTCATGAAATGTAGGCACCAGGGGCGTAGCTAGAGGAGGGCAAGGGGGGCATCTGTCCCCGGGCGCAGAATCCAAGGGGCGCCAAACTGATGTTACGACATTTTAGAATTAAATGTTTTCCATCCTTGGCAAGCAGTAGGGGGCGCGAAATCTTAAGTTGTCCCTGGGCGCTGAAAACCCTGGCTACGACTCTGGTAGGCACTTAGCTATTTTTCGAACTTAAAATAAATTTCGTGTTTTAATAAATCGATTAAATACGAATTTATTTAACGAAGTGAGCTTAACACCTTTTCAACGGGATTTTTTCTAAAAAAGTTTATGTTTAAAAATGTACAGTTTATTTTTCTTTGATTTTTGGACACGTTAAACTTTCATTCTTGCGACTGCTTTTACAAAAAGAATTTTGGAAAAATGATAATATTTTGTATTTTTAAAAAAATTTTTAAATGAAGCTTCCGTGTACACTTTTCACATCTTCTCACATCTTTAAAAATATGATTTTGGCAGCAATTTTCCTTTCTTATTGTTGTTGATAGATTTTTGATGAAATCGCATCATTTTGAATAGTTTCATTCTTTTAGAAATATGGGTTTGGCAACAATTTTTCATCGTATTTCTTATTTCACTGTTTTTAAGAGATTGGCATATTTCATTGTCATTTTTTTATATATATAATACATTTTTATTGATGTTTTTTATAAAAATGTTCTGCAGAGTAAAATTTTGCATGGAATGTTTTGTTTTTTGAGTTGCTTTCGTGGTATTTTTTGCTTATTTCACTGTTTGTAAGATATTGAAAAGTTTTGCATGATTTTTTTTCTTCAACGGAAAGTTGGTTAATTTTTTTATTACGATAATTAATATTTGTATTAAGGGATATAGCTTATTTCATTGTAATTTTTGGTGCTATTTTGGTAGACGGTTGCACGGATTTTGGCAATTTTTCTTTTGGCGAGTAATACGACTTATGATAAACCCATTGCTGGATAAGTTATTTATGGTAACCGATACTTTGTTGTCATTTTATTTAAAAAATAATGCGTTTTATTATGCATGAGTTCCGTGTTTTAAATATTATTTATGGCTTCTAAATATTAAAAATCAGTTTAATTTTGCATTTTTATTTCAAATAAAAACTTTGTTGTTTATAATATTTTATATAATTTTATGTTGTGGATGATGTAATCAATGACGTCACCTTACTTAAAAAGTAATTGATTTTATTAGTATCTATAAATTTAATCTAATGTTTTAAACATTATTTATGGCTGTTAAATATTAAAATACAATTTAATTTTGCATTTGTTTTAAAAAATGATTTTATTATGAATGATTATTTAAATAATTTTAATTCTATGCGTGATGTAATCAGCTCCCTGATTGGTTACTGAATATTTGTGCATTACCGCGCCATTTTAAAATTTTATTATTCATCTCTTCGAATTCCTCAGATTTCAAATGGAATGGATGTGCGTTTCAAAGATGAATGTTGTTATTGGTAATTACCAAGAATTATTGGTATCGGAATAAAAAAATTGCCCTTTGAGACCTTATTTTGGCCAACGTGGCTTTCCTAATCAAAGATTTATTTATAAATTGTTAATAGCGTCAGAGGAAATTTATTTTAAATTTTTGGAGAAAACCTCGCTAATTGCTTCTTCAATGAAGTGCGAGAGATGTGTGGATCACAGATGAAGATCGTTAGACCTTCTTTTTTTTATTTTTTATTTTTATTTTTATTTATTTATTTATTGTGTGTGTGTGGTGTGTGTGTGTTTGATACTTATCAATATACGACAGGTAAAATACTTTAAAAAATATAAGTACATAATTTTCTTTTACTTTATAATTGTATACTTCAACTTTTATTAAAAAATTAATACAATGTTTTCAAAAATTCCTGAGATATTTATTGCCACATATGTTTTAATGTTAAATAATTAAATCCTATAAAACTTATTTTAAAGTATTTAAATAATGTTTTAATTCTTTTAAACGTTGGTATGATGTTTTTAATTCGATATTCAATTTAAGTAATATTTTAATCCAATTAAGTGTTGGCGCAATGTTTTATAGCGGTGACGTTTTCAACAAAAAACTTAATCCATTATTTTTAACGATATTTATATATTTTTTTTAAAGTTTCTAATACTTTACTATATGCGTAAAATACGTACAAACAGCATTTTTCAAGATGGCTGATGACTGTAAAAACCGCGCCAACAATTGCGCCAATGTAAATCGCCAAAAATCCGTGCAACCGTCTACCAAACTAGCACCTAATTTTTTTTCTCTTAAATATAAGATAAAATATCATTAATTATACTTTGCGTTTAAAAATTTTTTGTTTTTTGTATTCTTTTATGTTATTTATTGCTCATTTCACTGTTTTTAAGATATTGAAAAGTTTTGAGTTATTTTTTTAGGAAACAAAGTTCTTAACCTTCTTTATACCATTTGAGTTCTTAAGGTTTTGCAAAGGGAAGTTGGTTAATTTATTTATTAGGATAATTAATATTTGTATTAAGGGGTATTACTTATTTCATTGTAATTTTGTTATACGTAATAACTTTTTTTTATGAAGTTGTTCTGCAAAGTAAAATTCTATGCAGTTTTTAAATTTAACGTTAGGTGTTCTCTTCAGCCATTTTTCCGGTACATTTAAAAGCCAGACGAAGCCTGGCAGTGAAGCTACTAGTAAACTAATATAATAGATCAATATATTTTTAGTATATAATGATTCAATATCATTTTTATGGGAAAAAAGACACTTTTGACTGCACAGATTTTCTGTAAATCTCAAGTTAAACACATATGAAATCTAATTCAGAAAGTCAAACAAAAATCAGCGTTATATTTTCAAAATTTTCACAGGACTAGTTCGATGGTTTTACCGAACCACCATGCTTGTTTTAATTCTGGTTTCATCAACAGATGGCGCCACTTGCTTATTCTTGTGCAAGCTTTCTTATCTTATCTAATCATTATTTCCTATCTTGTTCATCTGCGGTTTTGCAGCTGAGGATGGTGGTTCGGTAAAACCATCGAAACTAGTCCTGTGAAAATATAACGCTGATTTTTGTTGTTTGACTTCTGAATTAGTATTTGTTCGGCGTGTTATTGTGTCTTAATATATGAAATCATTTGTTTACTATCAGTGAACGTTAAAATCAGCTACCTGTTGCAATACAATAATAGGTGAATTGAATCGCGGATAGGCATGCTTAAAATGGGTACTTTTCCGTTTCGCCAGCGAAAATCTCGCCAAGCAGACTTTATTGGCGACAACATACAGTTTACACGTAAAAAATATTAACAAATGTTAGCTCTAAGAAGTTTAATTTTGATGGCATAAACATTTTAATATCATTTAAAATTTTGTAAAAGGCCAATAAATATAGACAATAAATTTGTAATATAACATTAGTTTAAGAATTTACTATGCTTTCATAGTTCAACATCCTGATTCGCCGATTCGTATACCATTAGTTTAAGAATTTACTATGCTTTCATAGTTCAACATCCTGATTCGCCGGTTCGTATCACGTGATCCCAAGTGATTTCATCCAAGGCCAACTAGGGTCTCATCTCACGAAAACTACGCTACAAAAATCTAATTCCCTCAGTAATTTTCTACATTAGTTTCAATTTAAATCTTAATTTGGAATAAAAGTTTAAATGCAAGACTTACTTCAATTCGTACGAATAGCTTTTGTAAAACCGCAGTGCTTTATTTCGCTAGTGCATTCTCATTAGAATTGATGAATTTAACCCTTGACTTTTCCTTTTCTATATTTTCGGGTGAGTGGTGTGATGACATCTTAATTGACTTAATTACTGTGAATGGCACAAAGTTGAACTATCTGCAAAAAATTCTATGTAATTATATGCCAATATTGAAAGAAGCAATCAATTTGATAAGGAATGGCTGCGACTTGTTTTGGAAATGAGGCATAAAAGTTTACCAGCGAGGATATTCCGTCTGGGATCTGTTGTACCAACACCGACTTAGTAGAAATAGAGTCGGTGTTGGTTGTACCGTCTCTGTGTGTATATTAGCCACTTTATCGCCTGCGGCGGCAAAAGGGAAAAGTGCCTTAAAATGTTTTCCTTAGTTTCTCGTTCGAACAAACTGAATAAATTTTTATTTTGAAACAAGAAAAACGAACTTAAAAATATTGATTCATTTTATGCTTAAGATATATACTATTAATCTAATAAACAAATTAATAAATATTAGCTTTTTTAAAAAAAATATGTAAGAATGTTTATACCTTGTAAGATGAAAATATTCTGAAATATTTGCTTGCTTCAAAAACTCTTAACAGTCAATAATATTTCTGTTATTCTAAAGACTTTTTATAAATGAAGGAATTGCAAGATTTTATAATTAGTGAGTTAATAAAGTTTGGCGTATGAATGTCTTGAGCTCAGTAACATGTCGTTCACAGTCAGACCTCTCATTAGCAGATAAATAAACATTTCAATAAATAAACTTAGAAAGATCGAATAAATTCATGCAATAGATATTAAAGGAAAGAAGTAATTGTCTGTAAATAAATGGTTAAGAAAATTAGGCACATTTTGGCCTTTATAGGTTGTAGCGCTGGCGTAATTGACGTCATCATCATTGAATTGTGTTGCCATTTGTCTGAATTTGGTCTTTATGCTTTTGCGAGTGTGAAGCTCATGGCGTTGAAAGAAGTGATGCTGAGTAGTTTGTTGTAGTAAAATTAATTCAGCGCGTTATCCATTTTTTCCCATTTACGCGGGTAAACTATGATATCTTTGTATTCATTTAATTGAATTATATGCTTTATTATTGTTAAATAAATTTGTAGAAAATGGTAATTTCAAGAGTTTAGTCACTCGAAATCAGCTTCAGGTGGTGTTTAGAAATGAGTGTATTTACTTTGAGAACTGTGACAAAAAGCCCGATATTTATTTTTTCGTAGCCTTAGCTATTTATTAAAAGAAGCTATTTTTATCTCCTGAACGCTAAAAAGACACAGTTGTTCATGCTTTACAATTACCAACGTGTGTAGGTAAAGGAATACTGCATTGTAAGTTGAAGTATCTTAAATAAAATTGAATGGTGATCGTAAAATTCCATTATACAGAGCTGTTATTATAATCGTATAATTCAATAATATTTAATCATTGAATATAATCTTTGTTTCTTCTATTTAATTTTTAGAATTCTAGTTGACTTCAATTATGTAACTTCATCATTGTAATGTGTTAATCATTTCTGTTACTTAGGAAATATTTCTCAGTCGTTTTCAAAACAACAACGTTTCTACCTTAGTTAATCATGCGAGATGCCAATGTATGTTTCTTTTGTATAAATGCTTTCAAGGAAGTATCATTTAAGCTTTTAGATTTTTATCTTATTTATTTGTTAATTTTTGTTCTGTTTCCCTATAATATTTTTGCTGTTAATACTTTTGTTCACACATATAGAATCTGTTAAGAGCATTCTTTCGTGATACTGTAGAGAATGAATCTAAAACTACTCGTGCTATTGCAAAATTTTGTTTTATAATACAAATTGGAGAACATTCATTAAAATTGTTAATACATTTTACACAGAAGATTATAATAATTAAGAGAATTAGGTAATCATATGACATTTATCACTTGTAATACTTGATTTCTTTCAGTTTGTCTCGTTTCTTAACTTACTGTGTATCTGATTTATCTCCGTGCTAAAACAATGACGTGCTCATTTACTGCATTAAAGTGTAATATGCACAAACGCCAAAGATCTAACATAAAGCAATACATTATTTTCAGAGAAAACTAAATTGAATTTAAAACCATTAATTATATCAGCCTTTTCATCTTAGGTTTTTTTTATATCTGATAAAAAAGGTTTTATTGAAATCTGCTTGCTTGATTAATGGTTTTTTGGGGGAAAGTGCAGAATCACCCACTGCTTCGCACGTTTTTGTGTGTGTGTGTGAAGTAGTATCTGTTGTAAATAAAAATGTGTTATGCATTCAACAAATTTTAAAACACTTTCAAAACTTTTCATTATTTATAGCATAAAGTAAAATTTCTGTTGCAATTTAGATTTAAAATCCTGAACATTCGTAAGTGAAGTTGCATCTAAAAGATTTTGGTAAAAGTTTACAATTAGGTGCCCCTTGTTTTTGGGGGATTCTTTTTTGACACCAGGAAGGCACAATTTCAGGATGGCCGCTGCACAAAACCAAAATAAGAAGTCGAAGAATTGCACAAACTCTGTGACCATGTAAACATCGATCTGTTTTCACTTAAAAAAAACTTCTTAGAATTGCACAAACTAGGCATTGCACACTGCACTTTGTCCATGTACACATCGATTTATTTTCACTTAAAAAAAATCAGGAAGCTGAAACAAAGTTTAAACTCTCGTGGTAACCAGAAATGGGGTTTCATCGCCAAAATGAATAAAATTTGTTGCTAATCGAAGGGGCACCCAATTCTACATTAGAGCCGTTCTTTTTCATTCTGTTAGTTTTGGCGATTCCTAGAATTCTGTTAAATGTTTCTCAACTAACTTTACAAATGGTAGTCAGAGTCACTAACCAATATTCCGTTTGGGTGGCATATTAAATGTAAGATGCATGTTTTTGTCAGCAAATGCATTAATTAATGTACATTTAAAAAATAAGCATGCAAGGGATATCTAGTGTATCATGCTTATAAAAATCTGTAATTATTAATGCAGAAAAATAACACAGGATTTTTGAGTAACTTTATGTTTGAAAACTCTGAACTGGGCTATCTTCTCCCAACAACAGAAGTTTGAAATAATTTAACTCATTTCCTTAAGGTCTCTTTTTATTAAAGTCTGTAAGAAGCTTAATTAGCTGTTTCTGATTAGGCACTTATAAGAGTTTATTGACTTTTCAAATACAGTCAAAAGTCGTTAATCCGGACTCGTCGGGACTTCGGCGATTCCGGATTATAGATCATCAGTTTAAATCTGGTAAAATGGCATGCAGAAATTATAAAAGTAAAAATATGGAACCGTAATTTACGAAATAAAGAACAATTATGATCTAAAGGGTATCAAAATTGACAAAAGAAAAGCTTAATATTTATTGGTTTACTTTATTAAACATTTCTTTCAATGTAAGTTGTTTCAGTTGCTTCGTTTTTTATGTGATAATACATTCTCTTTAATTCTATAAACAGACATAATTTCTTGTTCAGTTACAAAGTTCCGCTGTTCAAGTCCTATAATTGCTGTATCGAGAATACCGACTAATTTCTCAATCGAAATTTTTTCGTTTTCAATAACCTATGTCACTTTCTTCGCTATCGGAAGCGAATTATAATGACGAGGCATTTGATTTAAATCATATCAAAGACCGAGTACATTGAGATGAAATACTACATTGAGTAAGCAATTATAAGCTAAATAAAATAAAAACATCTGCCCTTAAGATAAGGATAGTGCTGATAAATCAACTTCCAATTCATTGCACGCTGCCGCGGTGTTAAAGATAAACTAAGTTTAGATAAACAAAGAATATGCGTTTATCCATTTTTTGTTTAATGGACTCCGAAAGATACTTTCGCTTTGTATATCCTTTACATATTAGTAAATATATATCGGTCCGGATCCAATTCGAAGATTAAGGAACAACGCAATCTGCAACATTAACTGAAATAGATGCTTAGATAATTTTAGCTTAGCTTATCCCGTCCATTATACATTAAACGCACATTCGTAAACGTATTTTGCGCACGCGCACACGCAAATTCGCAGCGGTAAAGGTCTTACGCGCATGCGTCAACGCGACTCATGCGCAGAAAGTTTGTAGCTTTGAGGTCCGGATTATAGATCATTCCGAATTATGGGTGTCCGAATTAACGACTTTTGACTGTATCTTTATTTAAATAATATTTAGAAAGGTAAATTCTTCAGTATTTTGGTTGAATCTTTATCATGAAGGTCTTGCAATTTAATGCTGTCAAATTCTGTTGGTATAGCTGAATGCATTTTGTCATTTAATTGCCTTTTTAAATTTTCTCGCAAGTATCGGCAGATACAACATTCAAACCATTTTCAGGTGTGATTTATATGTTTCGTCTTTTTAAATTTTCTCACAAACATGAGCAGATATAACATTCAAACCATGTTTCAGGTGTGATTTATTAGTAGGCAGAAGTGTTTTTTTAAACAAATTCTTTTGTATAGGTACACTTCCGTCTCGTTATGTTGTTATTTTTGAGGTCATAAGTATTAAATTTTATAAATCTTCTTAAAAACACAAAAGTATTGGGCTGATCTTTAGAATATGGTAACTGGTAGTTTGGCGACATTTTGGAAGCGATAAAAGTTACTACCTGGGACTTTGGTAATAATGTGAGCAGTACTCAGTTCCGATTACGCATTATTTTGTGTGAGGGAAATGAGATATCATGGGATATGTCATGTGATATTAATGTACGAATTGCGGTTCTTTAATCGGAAAAGGGGGGAAATCGGGAAAAAATCTGGAAATTTTGTATTTGGCTTTATTCTGTGTTGTGTGAAACAGTGTTCGTTAATTTTTAGATCCCATGGCCCTAACTAAAGTGAATTCGAAATGGGTATTTAGTGGGATTGTAAGGGGTAGTAATAAGTGTTTCTTTAAGGGTGTGCGATAAGAAGTAAAGATGTTTTATTAAGTTATTTATTTTACCTGGTACCTTGCTGTGAGCTATAAGTATGATTTTAAAGATCCTGAAACAGAAATAAGAAAAGTTTTTCGGACACGTAATCAAGATTAGGTAAGTTAGTATTTTTAATTATTTGAGGATATTATTTTTATGCATTGTTCTAAATGTAAGGTGGAAGTAAAGTAATTTGGTATTATTGGGAAAATTGTTATTAGCAATGATTTAGTTTAAAGTAATTAGGATTGTAAGCTAATTTTTATTAATTTAATGTATGTGCTTATTTATATTTTAAGTAGTGTTTTTGAATTTAATTATATTTTAATTAAATGGTAGTTATTTTGTGAATTTTATGTTTGTAGGAATTTGGTATACGTTTTAGTTGAAGTAAACGTGCATGGAAATAATTTAAATATTTGACACTAAGTATTTGTAATGTTTGCGGTATGAATTCATTGGTGAAGTTTATAATATAATAGATAATTTAGAGGTAAAAGTTTTTGGATATTTTATTTATTTTATACGTAAAAATGTTCATATTTGGAAAGGGTATATACTTTTTCGTTATTAGGTAATTTCATATATGTTCTTTGTAACGGGTTTAAAGATTCAGAAAATTGTCATGTATTTTCGTGAAATTTTTCTAGTTTATGAGAAAAAAGCAGTGTACATGGATGTGGTGAAGGGTGTGCGCAATGCCATTTTTGTGTAATTCTGGGATGTTTTTTTAAGTAAAAATAAGTCGACGTGTACATGGTTTATGTGTATGTGTTATTTAAAAAAAAACGTAAGGAGTATGGTATTGTGCACTTTTCCCAATTTTGCAGTGAATATTTGTCATGATTAAGCAGTTTTGTTAGATAAAATTTCTAGCATAAATGTAATTCGGCTAGTAGATTGTTGGAAGAAGTGTTCAGTAGATAAAAAGAAAAGAAACATGTCTTTACTTCGTGAAGACAAAATGGTGGCGGGAAAAAAAAAAAATAGAGGGTTGCTGTAGGAGAGTTGGTTGCCAAATTTTCGCCAAAAAATCACCAAGTTACCATAATGTAAAGATCAACCAAGTATTGATCTTTATTTATATTCCAGTGAATTTTTTCTGGCAACTTCTATATTAGATCTCGGATAAAATGTGATTTAATAAAGCTTTAATATTTAGCATTTGTATGCACTAAGATATTTCTTTTTAATTAAATATATAAATTTTTGTTCCTTTTAGTCAACACATGATTCTTGTTGTTTGCATAAAATTTGATTGTAGTCAAACACAAGAATCTGGTCAGTTGCCATGTTTTTCCTCATATTCAAATATACATACGACAGCAGCCATACATGTGTGCACACAGTTTATATTTAGCCGCCACTTTTCTGAACAGCATCGGCCGGCTGTGAAAATTTAAATATGGAC